TATCAAAAGAATTAATATCCATCCAAGCATAGTCAGCCACCATACGGACAATACAAGGCATGCTCGGGATTTCACAATTAAACCCTAAATTAACCGAACTTAGGTTAATTAAATCCACTAATTCCAGCCATTAAACAGCCCACTCTAGGGCACTAAACCACATTGAAATCAACATATTAGACTCCCAAATCATCACATAATCCACCACTAATTAATCAGCCCACTAATTATCCCTAAATTCCCCTAATTAACCCCTAAATTAACCTAATCCTATCTAGAAATGCTAATTAGCCTAATTAGGGTTTAGGGTAATTACTCACTTAGGCTCCTAAGCTCCAACAAGCTGATCGGGAGAGAAAAATGAGCCGGCTGAGCTGATTCATGGCGGCGCAAGCGGCGGCGAACGGCGGCTACCATGGCGGCGCGAGCGGCGGCGGTGATCGGCGGTGGGGCTGATCGGCGTAGGTGGGGGGTGACGGGATGAGGGAGAGAAAGAACGGAGAGAATGGTGGTCGGGTGGTGATGAGCGGCGCTCCAGCGTGCGGCGGCGTGAGCGGCGGTGGCTCCTCCGGTGGGCGGTGGCTCACGGCAAAGAAGGGAAGGGGAGGAGAGTGAGGCGAGAGGGAGAGGGGAAGCTGGTCGGTGCAAGAGAAAGAGAGAGAGAAATGAGGGAGAGAGAGTGAGGGAGAGTGTATTATTGGCTTGAGTGGTGAATGGGGTGGTTGAACCAACTCCCAAAAATGACCATCATGCCCTTCCAACCAAGGGCCATGATTGAATCTAGTCCAAATATCTAGGGGCACACTTGTCCATCATTTTCGGCAATGAGAGGGCTGAACATGTCCATAATGCCCTTCCAATTAATCTCCCAAAATTCGGAATTAGCACATAGGGCTCCAAGGGCAAATCGGTAATTTTCCGGTCCCGGGCCAAATTTCCAATTTTCGACTCTACCGATCCCAAATATAATTGGCCACACTTATACGACGTTGACCTTGCAAAATAGTCGCGTACGTCCACGAAATTTGACACCGAAGTCCGGACTCAATTCCACGATCGATTTTGCTCAAATGCGATTTTAGCGTCTCTTACTAACGGGCGGCTGTTTAGGGGTTACGCGTATCGACCTAGAGTTACTCGAGTCGTGACGGTCTCGACTTCCAAGAGAACGCGAGGATTTATCGCTAGTTCCAAGGGTCGCGATCGTTCGGAATAAGTTTGGGATCGTCCGCCACGCGTACTCTCGATCGTGCGGAATCACCCGCGATCCGATCGTACGTCGCTGGGGAAACCAAATCCGTCACTCTCCTTGAACCGGCCCATATTGGCACAAAATATTCCCTCGTCGTTTCTCGAAATCGAACTCAAATCACGGTCGAGTTCTTGGGTCCATGTACCGTTTTCCTAATTAGCCATTCCCTATTGGTCAGTATCCCGAGAATGATCAGTTCCGGGTGAGACTTACTAAAACGAAATGAGAAATACATATCCATTTTATTGACCACGAAAGTGGGTCAAATTCAGGACGTTACAAATCTTTCCCCCTTACAAAAATTTCATCTTCGAAATTTACAATCCAAACCCGACTACTCAAATAAATGGGGGTGCTGACGTCTCATTACTTCTTCGCTTTTCCAGGTGGCGCCTTCTGTCCCGTGATGTTCCCAAACAATTTTAACCAACGGGATCGTCTTATTCCTCAAAACCTGCTCCTTCCTGTCCTCGATTCGCACCAGTCTCTCCACGTACGATACCCTATCGTCCACGTCTATTACTTCATGATTCAGCACGTGGGTCGGATCCGGTTCGTACTTCCTTAACATTGACACGTGGAAGACGTTATGAACTTGTGACAACTTCGGCGGCAAGGCAAGACGATAAGCCAACGTTCCAATCCTCTCCAAAATCTCGAACGGGCCTATATATCTTGGCCTCAGCTTTCCTTTCTTGCCAAACCGAGACAGTCCTCTCATCGGTGAGATCTTAAGGAATACGTGGTCACCAACCTGAAACTCCAACGGTCTACGCCTTCGGTCCGCATAACTCTTCTGACGGCTCTAAGCTTCCTTAGCCTTTCCCAGATAATCTTTACCGTTTCCATCGACTGCTGAACCAACTCTGGACCCGTTACACTTCTTTCTCCTACTTTATCCCAACACAACGGTGTTCTACATGCTCTGCCATAAAGTGCTTCAAACGGTGCCATCCCAATACTCTGCTGAAAGCTGTTATTGTAGGTAAATTCAACCAAATGCAACTACTCTTCCCACTTGTCCTGAAAATCTAACACACACGCTCTCAGCATATCCTCTAAAGTCTGAATAGTCCTCTCAGATTGGCCATCCGTATGTGGATGGTAGGCCGTACTGAACTGCAACTTTGTTCCCATGGCCGATTATAGATTTTTCTAAAAATTAGCAGTGAACCGGGGATCACGGTCCGAAGTGATCGATACCGGTACTCCATGAAGACGGACTATCTGCCGCACATACAATTCCGCATACCTTTCCAATTCGAAGTCCTTTCGCACTGTCAGGAAGTGCGCTGACTTGGTCAATCTGTCTACTATCACCCAAATAGAATCGTGTTCCCTCTGGCTTCTGGGCAATCCCGTTACAAAATCCATCGTAATATGCTCCCATTTCCATTCTGGGATTTCCAACGGCTGCAACATTCCACCTGGTTTACAATGCTGTGTCTTCACTTGTTGGCACGTCAAACACTTGGCCACATGCTTGGCCACATCCACCTTCATTCCGTTCTACCAATAATGTTATCGAAGGTTCTGGTATATCTTCGTGCTGCCCTGGTGAATGCTATAATTGCTCCTATGAGCTTCCGATAAAATCTCTTCCTTAAGCTCCAAATCATCGGGCACACACAAACGTCCTCGAAACTTCAGAATTCCGTTCTCGGACTCTTGGAAGTCCGGTTTCCTCTTAGTGCCATCCATCTCCAGAATCTTCTAAATCTCAGGGTCCGTAGACTGCAACGCCTTAATTTTGGTCTGCACCTCTGGTTCAATCCTTAACGTCGCCACCAAACTAGAGAGGTGTCCTACCTCGAACTTAAACTCTGAGTTTCGCGCTCCTTCCAATGAAATCCACTCTTTGACTATTAATTGCGCGATGCTCGATTTCCGACTTAAGGCATCCGCTATCCGGTTGGCTTTTCCGGGATGATACAAAATGTCACAATCATAATCCTTCAGAAGTTCCATCCAACGCCTTTGCCTCATATTCAATTCCTTCTGCGAAAACAAGTACTTGAGGCTCTGATGGTCCGTGTAGATCTGGAACTTTTCCCCGCACAAATAGTGCCTCCAAATCTTAAGTACGAAAATGATTGCTGCCAGTTTCAAGTCGTGAGTCGGGTAGTTCATCTCATGAGGCCTTAACTGACGCGATGCATAAGCAACCACATTTCCATGTTGCATTAGCACGCATCCCAATCCCTTGAGCGAAGCATCGCTATAAATTTCATATCCTCCCGGTCCTGAAGGGATCGTTAGCACTGGCGCAGTCGTCAATCTCTGCTTCAACTCCTGAAAGCTCTCCTCGCACTTTTCTGTCCATTCAAACTTCGTCTCCTTCTTAAGCAACCTTGTCAATGGAGTGGCTATTGCTAAGAATCTTTCCATGAATCGCCTATAGTAACCTGCCAGTCTTAATAAGCTTCGAACCTCAGTAACTATAGTCGGTCTCAGTCAATCCATCACTGCTTCAATCTTCGCCGGATCCACAGAGATTCCTTCTCCGGAAATTTTATGTCCAAGAAACGCCACTCGGTTCATCCAAAACTCGCACTTGCTAAACTTAGCATACAGTGCATGCTCTCTTAACGTTCGTAGAACCTTTTCCAAGTGTACCTCATGTTCCTCTAGACTCTTTGAATATACCAAAATATCATCTATGAAGACAATGACGAACTGATCCAAAAACTCCTTGAATACCCGATTCATTAAGTCCATGAAAGCAGCATGGGCATTAGTCAGCCCAAACGGCATTACCGTGAATTCATAGTGCCCATACCTCGTCCTGAATGCCGTCTTTGGGATATCCTCCTTTTGGATCCTTAACGATGATACCACATCCTTAGATCAATCTTAGAAAATACCGAGGCTCCTTGCAGGCGATCGAACGGGTTGTCAATCCTTGGGAGGATACTTATTCTTGATTGTCACTTGATTCAGTTGGCGGTAATCAATGCATAGCCTCAACGACCCATCCTTCTTTCTTACGAACAATACTTGGCGCTCCCCATGGAGACGCACTCGGTCGGATAAAACCTTTATCCAGCGGTTCCTGCATCGAACCTTTAATTCTTTCAACTCGACAACGACATCCTATAAGGCGGCTTTGAGATTGGCTCGGTTCTGCCAACTCGATAATAAACTCCACTTCTCTTTCGGTGGCAATCCCGGCAATTCTGGGGAAGACATCGGGAAAGTTGCACGCCCCGCTATATCCTCTAGCCACTTCTTACTTAGTTGAATCAACCATACTTGCCGGGTAACCTTGACTTCCTTCATCCAACAACTTGGTTGCTTCTACTGATGAAACCCAAGGGATCGATGTTCCTCCTCAACTCCCTACAAACTCAAATCTAGGGTGTCCAGCCGGACTAAACTGAATCACCCTGCTACTGCAATCTATCACGGCATTCTGTTTGACTAACTAATCCATGCCCACAATCACATCAAAATCATACATTGGCAAAACAGCTAAATCTATCTTGCTTTCTACGCCACCAATTACTATCTCACAGTCCGGGCATCCTAACGATATGCATATCTTATCCATTAATGGCGTAGTCACACATAACCGCACTTCTAGCAAAACAGGTTTTAATCCACCAATTCAACAAACCGAGCGGACACAATGAGTGCGACGCCCCGGATCAAATAAAGCATACGCGACATGATTGCACAGAGAAACCATACCTGTGACCACGTCTGGCGCATTCTCAACTTCCCTTCGCGTCATGGCGTATACACGTCCTTATGCCGGCGGCCTGTTCAGATTAGCCGGCGGGGGATTCCCAGCCTGATTCCCAACTCGGGGCTGTTGTGGTTGCATCGGTGGACCTGCTGGGCGTTGCTGGGGGCAATTCCTGATTTGATGCTCCAAACTCCCACACTTGAAACAAGCCCCAAATCTATTCTGCTGGTGGTTCGGTTTTCCGATATTCTTTCTAATCGGTGGGACGAATCGCCTGTTTCCCGCCATCGGCTTCTTCCCGAAGCGGCGGTTGCCCCTATTCTGGGCGAATCGCGATCCAGAAGTGGCTGCCCTTTCCAACTGATCTCGTTCTATGGCTTGAGCCCGTTCATACATCTCCCCGTAGTCCCGAATATTCAAAGAAATCATATGGCTTCGAAGATCCGGCTTCAATTTGTCCCGAAATCTCCGAACCTTATCCTGCGGGTTCTCCACCATCCTAGGTGCAAACTTCGACAATCTAGCGAACTCCGCTTCATATTGATCCACAGTCATTGATCCTTGGCGAAGTCTCATAAATTCCGCCAGTTTCCTTTTCTGGGCACTCTCCGAGAAATTTTTTCCATAAAAATTCTCGGTAAACACAGCCCAAGTCTGGGCGGTCCCCTCGGGAAATACTCTGCCCTTGGTGGCCTTCCACCAGCCATTTGCATTATCCTGCAGTTGGTATATAGCCAAAGTCACCCTTTCAGTCTCAGTGCACCCCAGAACTTCGAAGGCTTTCTCTAATTCTTCTACCCAACGCGGTGCAGCCTCGGGGTCACCCTTTCCGTTGAACTTCGGCGGTTTTAACTTCAAGAACTGTTCGACCAACTTAGATATCGGCCTGATCACATTTGCCGGTCCCGGAGTTGGATTCCCATTATTCCCCTGATTCCTGTTATTCCCATTGGCCCCACTGGTAGCAGCAACGGCGGCCTCAACAGTAGCGGCAACAGTGGCATTTCTCTCCTGGGTCTGCCTATCCATCCGTATTCCCGCTTCCTCGAGTGCCCTCAAAATCCCATCTACCCAGGGATCCTCTGCAACCTTCACTTGCGGTTCTGCGCGACCTTGCTCAAGACCTCGACCTCCACCTCTTCCTTGGCTACTCATCTCTACAATTCGAACACTCGCCTACCTGCTATAATTCCACTCAGGAATTAAAGACCTAGGCCAAACTAAACTGGTCTAAGGTCCTAGGCAGGGAACTAACACAACAGTAATCAATCACTCAGCATGCGGCCAAACACAAGCAGCATAAGACCTTAACCAAGGAGATACACGCACTTACCTTGGGTCCTGCCGCACCTGCACTTTACGGGTCAGTTCAAACAACCAGTCGATCAAGACACAAACAGTCAGGAGGTACACGTAGCACACAAGGTCTCCCTATTGGCTACCCAAGGTCATCGCTCCTTATCACTCCAGGCTTCGACCGAATTGGACCGAGCTGACCTTGCTTTGATACCAAATCAACAGGGGATGTCACGCCCCGAATCCTACGACGCGCGAGCATCCCAACCGAGGTCGAATTTATACGACGTCCCAGGACGCGTCGCCGACCCAACACCCAACACAGAGAACAAGGCACATGCGGAAGCAACATAAACACCCGTACAATTTTAAAACACGTGACCAAGGATAGCATAAACAACAAACAACATTACAAATATACACTTGCATTGACATCAGGGAAACATATACAATATCCATTTACCACAGAATACATAGTAAACCAAAAGCGGGTCAACGGCCACTACTGACAAAAAGGGGGTAGGTGGCTCGGGGGTCAGTCTAAACACTAACCTAAGGAAGGACTCCGGTCAAAAAGGTATCGGCCCAACCTAAATAGGGTTACGGCTAAACCCTAAGGTACCCAGTCCGAGTCAGATCCCGAGGACTCGGAAGAGCTGTCAGACAACTCGATCTCGGAGTCCATAGAATCCAGCTCGGACTCGGCCTCAGAATCGCCCTCCTCTGGCTCGTCCTCCGGCTCGGGGTCCTGCTCCATCTGCTCCGGCTCACCATCCGAATCCATAGGCTCTGGGTCAGAATCCCAGTCTACCGGCTCCTCATCCATCAGGTCTGGCTCGTCGACCTCCCAGATGACGGGTCCGTGTCTGTCGTCAGAATCCTCTCCGAACGAGGCCTAGGGGCTAGCCAGATCTCCATCGGCACACTGGGGATCTATATCACCTAGCCCGTTGAACGGGACATCAAAGGTCCTAAGAGGTTCGAAGGTTTCGGTGTAGTCCCTGAAGCACCAACCTATGTACTCGTGGGCCTGAAAGTGCTGCTTGCCCACGTCGACCCATACTGTAGTAAAATGCCTAATATACGTATCCCCGTTTCCTACCGGATACTCGATCACCTCCCGGTCTATCCGGGACGGGATCCCAAAACGGATAGGAACTTCTGACATCCTCAGGGCCGGGGGTCTGAAAATGTGGGTTTTAACAACCGTGAGAACGAATCTCAGCAAGTAAACCCCCTAAACCTAAACTAGGCTAACATGCACCTCCTGACAGGCAAACAATCACACGAATAGACCAATAATCAATTGACCTAGGCCCTCAGGCCCAGATCGAGCACACAAATGACCTTTCAGGTTAGACGGTTCATAATAGCAGTAGAAGTGCAGAACCCACACGTAGCGCACACGAGATCATACTTAGCCACACGTACGCCATGCACATGCTCATGCTCATGCTCCTTGATGTCTGCATCACACACGGCTCATCGATACGCACATGCCTGCAAACCTGCCAATGCACTCTTGCACACATATGCCATCAATATGTCCGTGCTCATGATCCGGCTCAATAATGCACATTTGCACACTGCCAATTTTCATTTATTAATCGACCCCCGTAAAACGCATCAGGTCTATCAATATCCAACACTTCCTGACCCGCGTAAAACGCATCAGGCCCAGTGTCTCTAGCCCGCGTAAAACGCATCAGGTGCAACACCGATCTCCATATACGGACCGAACCCACGTAAAACGCATCAAGTTGGCCGTCTTCCGGCAATTCGAGCATCGTCCCGCGTAAAACGCATCAGGACGGGTTCAATACCCCGCGTAACACGCATAAGGGCTTTATGTGATCACACGTACATACACCAAATTTTATCTGAATCCCCCGTAAAACGCATCAGGGCGATTAGGTGATCACATGCTCATGTCAGGCAAGCATACTCGCACAAATCTCTTATCATGTCAATGCTCAGCATACGAAATGCGTGGCCATGCACATTGAGTATTCGATTTCACATAGACACACAATCAATTAATGCCAACTCAATGTGCATCTCAACATGCTCGATACCACAAATTAACTCGCCCAATTAATCCAATAATTCAATTCGAACCCGGCACACAATTGGCACATAAATCTCATGCACTTTGTCATGCAAATCACATAATGAATGGCCCATTAACTCCTCACTATTCGGCCACATAAGGTACGCGACATGGTAACAAAAGAATTAATATCCATCCAAGCATAGTCAGCCACCATAAGGACAATACAAGGCATGCTCGGGATTCCACAATTAAACCCTAAATTAACCGAACTTAGGCCAATTAAATCCACTAATTCCAGCCATTAAACAGCCCACTCTAGGGCACTAAACCACATTGAAATCAACATATTAGACTGCCAAATCATCACATAATCCACCACTAATTAATCAGCCCACTAATTATCCCTAAATTCCCCTAATTAACCCCTAAATTAACCTAATCCTATCTAGAAATGCTAATTAGCCTAATTATGGTTTAGTGTAATTACTCACTTAGGCTCCTAAATTCCAAACAAGCTGATCGGGAGAGAAAAACGGGCCGACTGAGCTGGTTCATGGCAGCCCAAGCGGCGGTGAACGGCGGTTACCGTGGCGGCGCGAGCGGCGGCGGTGATCGGCGGTGGGGCTGATCGGCGTAGGTGGGGGGTGACGGGATGAGGGAGAGAAAGAACGGAGAGAATGGTGGTCGGGTGGTGATGAGCGGCGCTCCGGCGTGCGGCGGCGTGAGCGGCGGCGGCTCCTCCGGCGGGCGGCGGCTCACAGCCGAGAGGGGAAGGGGAGGAGAGTGAGGCGAGAGGGAGAGGGGAAGCTGGCCGGTGCAAGAGAGAGAGAGAAATGAGGGAGAGAGAGTGAGGGAGAGTGTATTATTGGCTTGAGTGGTGAGTGGGGTGGTTGAACCAACTCCCAAAAATGACCATCATGCCCTTCCAACCAAGGGCCATGATTGAATCTAGTCCAAATATCTAGGGGCACACTTGTCCATCATTTTTGGCAATGAGAGGGCTAAACATGTCCATAATGCCCTTCCAATTAATCTCCCAAAATTCGGAATTAGCACATAGGGCTCCAAGGGCAAATCGGTAATTTTCCGGTCCCGGGCCAAATTTCCAATTTTCGACTCTACCGATCCCAAATATAATTGGCCATACTTATACGACGTTGACCTTGCAAAATAGTCGCGTACATCCACGAAATTCGACACCGAAGTCCGGACTCAATTCCACGATTGATTTTCGCTCAAATGTGATTTTAACGTCTCTCACTAACGGGCGGCTGTTTAGGGGTTACGCGTATCGACCTAAAGTTACTCGAGTCGTGACAGTCTCGACTTCCAAGAGAACGCGAGTATTTATCGCTAGTTCCGGGGGTCGCGATCGGTCGGAATAAGTTCGGGATCGTTCGCCACGCGTACTCTCGGTCGTGCGGAATCACCCGCGATCCGATCGTACATCGCTGGTCAAACCAAATCCGTCACTCTCCTTGGACCGGCCCACATTGGCACAAAATGTTCCCTCATCGTTTCTCGGAATCAGACTCAATTCACGGTCGAGTTCTTGGGTCCATGTACCGTTTTCCTAGTTAGACATTCCCTATTGGTCAGTATCCCGAGAATGATCAGTTTCAGGTGAGATTTACTAAAACGAAATGAGAAATACATATCCGTTTTATTGACCACGAAAGTGGGTCGAATTCAGGACGTTACAAAAACAGGTATGGGTCGAGAAATTTGCATCATGAATAAATTGGTCATAAACGGGTTAATCAGTTAATTTGGGTTGAATCATTTTATGACCTGACCTAAACTCGACTTGACCCACCCATTTAACCGGTTCGAGGCCTATACTTGCCAGATTGAGAGTGCGTTTTTTTCGAGAAAAATGAATGATTTAAAATTTTTTAAAAATAATCGTTTGTATCAATAATAAAAATAGATGAGTGAAAATTATTTTTGTCATCCACAAAAATATTTAGACATAAATTATTGTCGATAATGAAAATATTTTCAGTTGACTTATTATTTCAAGCAATATAAGTGATTTTTTTTTTGGTAAGGAAATAAGTGATTATTTTTATAATGGAGTGAATGCGTTTATTTCATGGAAAATGAATTATTTGGAAAACATTTTCCTAAATATAAACGTGTGTATCGCTAATATAATTGGATGAATGAAAGAAATTTTTATCGTTCACAAAAATGTTTAGATATAAATTGTTTTCATTGATTGATTATTTTAAGGGATACAAACGATTATTTTTAAGAAAATATTTTTTAAATAATTTATTTTTGACGAAACAAACGTAACCTAAAAGTCAAATTGATTTCCTGTATTGAAAAGGAATATGAAAGGGTGACAACATTGTTACTCCTAAGAGACTGACGGTGCCCGCCTCCAACACATATTTTCTCAAAATACCTTGTTTCCTGAGACAATTTTTAATCCCACTTGTGGATTTGCTAGCCCGCCATGTGGGAATTTTTTTAGTTAAAAAAATAACAAATCAACCAAAACAACTTTATTGCTAGACAAAATAATTGTAGGATTTCTATTAGCAACATCACTATTGTAAAACATTTTTCACACTTACAGTCGTGAAAGAAAAATATCCATCATTAAACAAAATAACTACAGTTATAGAAATTAAATCTCAAATAAATGTTAGTATCTAAACTTTGCTTGTGGATAAACTTTTTATAATGCCAATGTTTGTAGAAAGTAACAATTCATGAATATATGGGAAAAATGTTAGAATAGTTCTAACCTACTGTATTTGTGCCAATTTAGTTCTAAACATTTTTAATTGTATCA